TATAACAACATGGATGGAGAAGTTTGAAACGAATTTAATCGTTATGTTTTCGTGTGAATTGTTTACAAACCTTTCACTACCGTTGGGGTCCATTTGTTACACCATATTAAGTCGTAATGTTTTTGTTACACCATAATAAGTCGTTATGTTTTTGTTACACCATATTAAGTCGTTATGTTTTTGTTACACCATATTAAGTCGTTATGTTTTTGTTACACCATATTAAGTCGTTATGTTTCTGTTACACCATATTAAGTAGTTATGTTTTTGTTACACCATAATAAGTCGTTATGTTTCTGTTACACCATATTAAGTAGTTATGTTTTTGTTACACCATAATAAGTCGTTATGTTTTTGTTACACCATATTAAGTAGTTATGTTTTTGTTACACCATAATAAGTCGTTATGTTTCTGTTACACCATATAAGTCGTTATGTTTTTGTTACACCATATTAAGTAGTTATGTTTTAGTTACACCATATTAAGTCGTTATGTTTTTGCAACACCCAGTGTGAAGAACTGACCATAACACTGAGTTAAATCTCTCGTTTTCTATATAAAATACATAAAAAACCTCAGCTGTAATTGGTGGGATCCACTGTAGCATTGGCTGTATTTCTGTTTAAGTTTAGTGTAAAATACACGAAAAACCTCAGCTGTAATTCGTGGGATCCACTGTAGCATTGACTGTATTTCTGTTTAAGTTTAGTGTAAAATACACGAAAAACCTCAGCTGTAATTTGTGGGATCCACTATAACATTGGCTGTATTTCTGTTTATGTTTAGTGTAAAATACACGAAAAACCTCAGCTGTAATTCGTGGGATCCACTATAACATTGGCTGTATTTCTGTTTAAGTTTAATGTAAAATACACGAAAAACCTCAGCTGTAATTCGTGGGATCCACTATAACATTGGCTGTATTTCTGTTTAAGTTTAATGTAAAATACACGAAAAACCTCAGCTGTAATTTGTGGGATCCACTATAAAATTGGTTGTATTTCTGTTTAAGTTTAGTTTTCTATAACTTGTATGAGGATCCACGGACAATTTAGTACATAAATAGTGTAGAAAAATGTGTTAAAAATTCCATACGGATCTCATCGGTTATTTTTAGGGTTAAGTCTATACCTTTTATGTATTTTAGGATTAAATTTATACTTTTGATGGCTTTTTGATCACATTTGGCTAAAATTATAAATTTCTGAATAACAAAAAAAAATCACATTTAATTTTTTAGTATTTCTAGCGAACAATGGCGTGCCAATACTATATTTGTGAAACTAGAGGGCCACCACTCTCCAGGAAACTGGATTAGAATATGTTTTAGGACTAAACCGTTGTTGACTGTACACGTGATAAGCTGTCCTTGAAAGTGTTGAAACGTTGGACAATAAATAGAACTAACCAAATTTCCCGGACTTCTTTATTATCACAATGTTGTAGGTCTGTTAATATTTTCACGTTGTATATACTGTTACGAAAGCGGAAGTCACGTAACGCTAGTAACACGTTATTGACTTCTAGAAATATCCTGTTCCTTCATGAATGCTCTGGCGTTTCCTAGATATGTGTTATTCTTGTATATATATAAGACGGTCACAACGTGACGGAACAATGTGTAATTTAACTGCGGAGAGAAAATATTGTTGAGCACGTGAGACGTTCGTTGTGAATTATAGCGTTTGTTATAGCGCGACTGTTGAAATCAAGTGTATCGCAAAGTTGTATTCAGAAAGAATAAACCAGTTTTATTTAAGAAAGGACTTGTATTGGTAAAGTTTCTTCAGAAAGAATTTTTACGGAAAATTTAACTAACGAACGGAGACGTAACAAATTGGTGTCAGAAGTGGGATAAAAAATGGAAACGAAAAGCGACAAATCAAACTACAGCTTAGCAGACTTGATGACAGCAATACAAAAACAGCAAAAGAAACAAGAAGAACGAGAAAATAAACAAGAAGAGAGATTGCAGCAGTGGTTGAAGGAAAAAGAAAAGAAACAAGAAGAACGAGAAAATAAACAAGAAGAGAGATTGCAGCAGTGGTTGAAGGAAAAAGAAAAGAAACAAGAAGAACGAGAAA